ACTGTATCGGTAAATCTCTAACCGGTTGACTTTTAATAAACCAAATCGAAAAACTGAAAGTTGTATCGAAAACCTCATTAGAAATTCAAACATTCGGAAAAAAATTATAAACGAATCGAAAAAATTAAATAAAAAATCAGAAACTTCGAAAACTGCTAGAAATGCCGCTAGAAAACTTGGATTTTTAATCGAAGAATTCAAGCTTTGCCAAAAAGTTTCATCAAACTCTAATTTCAATGATCCTCCTAACTCCTTTTTCAATTCTAAACATTTTGATACATTTTCACAAAAATTTTGAGTTGAACTCACACAGAAATGCATGTTTTGGCTCTGTTTGGTCCATCGCGGTGGGTCTAGCCCTTTTACAGCCAAACCGTGATCTTAAAAAATATTAAGGAGGCCTTTCTTGACCACTATCAAAGCAAAATAAACTATTGAAAACACTTGATGTAATTGTTAATGGTCAAAATGGACATTTTTCGTGAAAAGCTTCGACGGTTTTTTTTAAAAGCATCTCTAACTCTATTTTATTCGTATTTTAAACGCTCTGTTTTAGAGTAAAAATTTATTCAAATCTATTCTATTTTTACTTTTATCTGACTTTTTGTTTCAAAGAGTGATATCTCTTACTTTATTTCGGAGTTAATTTTTTTTTATAATAAAAGAATAGAATAATAGATTAAAGAGAAACTCGCCTCGTCTCTGTTTTATAATAGAAGATACAAAAATATATTGGAGATGATCTTAGTGAAAACTGGCTGAAACTTATTTTTAAAATCATCATAGAGATGATCTTTGATAGAGAAAACATGTACTTTTTTTTAATTTGAAAACAATTTTGGAACATAAACGAACAATTTCAGACTTAATCTCCTTTCCAAAATGATGTCAGCTAAGTTCCGGCTTCTAAAAAAGTTCCATCTCATTATAGAACTGGTGAAGAAATAGGAACCAAGAGAAGTAGAAGCATTAGCTCGAAAACGTTTTCGATATTTAAAAAACAAAATCGGATCATATCAAGGGAGAGAAACTTACGGCTTTGTGATGGGTTTTCAGTTGGTTTCTTTGGTTCTAAGACAACTTTAGAGACTCATGATCATTCTCAGATCATGACACAAGAAGACGTAGCAAGATTCAAGTTGGGAAATAGATGAAATGAGAAGAAGAAGTAAACGGGAAAAAAGAAGAAGAGATGGTGGTTTGAAGATGATAATGAAGATGAAGATTAAGTT